TACTAGCTATGTGAGGGAACACAAGTCATTTAAATTCTGTGTTTGTAGCAACTTTCCAAGATTTATCAGCCAAGTCATACATAGTAGGTGATCACACCAATTGGTGGAGTTCTCCTATTGAGGAATGGCTCTCAGAGATGATGAAGTTACAGATTCTTCAAATTGAGATGATGAAATTATAGAGTCTTCAAATATATAGTCATGGTATAAGAAACAGATGATAGTGTTTTATTAATGTGAAATACATAGCTGGGGGTCCCTGCAGGAGCATTAGATATTTCAAACAAACTTAACTATCACAAAAAAAATTCATGGAATGTAGAAAAAACACTTGAATTACATTTTCTGTGGAACTTTAATAAGATTTCTTCCTGCTTTAAATATAATTTTCAGTTCTATTATCACAGATCTAGCAGTCATTTGTAACCAGAAATCCTTAAAAACAAGGAATAAATGTTGAATTAATGCACTTAAAAGTTGCAATCTTGAGAAACTTGAGAATTTTAACTGAAGAAAGTATATTTAATTTCAGGAATGTCAGCCCAGAAACAAACAAAAAAAAGTAATTGAATTCTGTCCTCCTATTCACACTCATGGAGATGTTCATTTCCTTTTTTATTCAGAGAGAAAGTCATCATTATCAGGATCATAGCATGTCAGCCCTAGCAGGGCCTTACAAATCTAACTTCCCCATGACACATAAATTGTGCCTTGTAAGGTTTTTGGAAGAACAGAGATTGCCATGCTCAAAGGCACAGGCATAAGATCAAAACCGAGGTTTGCATACAGTTCATTTGCCTCCAAATCCAGTGCTGTTTCCAAGATATCATGTTGCTTTTAGAGATGTGGCTCTTGATTGTTTCTTAGCCTATTTGGGGCTAAGATGAAGTATAGAGATGTGTCTCTTAGCCCACAACAAGTTAACATCAGCATATTTTTTTGAAGGCTACTCTTAAGATTTAAAAGTCATCAAAAGATTCCCTCACACAGAATGGCTGTCCCAACCATCATTTAACTACTTCATCAGTAGATCCTTCCTTAAAGGGAAACCCAATAGTACGTAGAACAGACAACATAGTTCAGAGTGAATGGGATCAAACAAGAGAATGTTTTAAGAAGTGCAAAAACACTAGAAGTAATGACTCAATGGCCATTGAGTAGTTACGGGGGACAAGAATGTTAAGTAATGTCTAAAAGGACACTATAAGATCTGTAAGGTGCTGAAAGATGCCATCACATAGAGATTTGGAATAGGGATGAGTAGAAGACAAATTTCCCACTTCATAGTGTGGTCTAGAGAGGAGCCTATCTCTCTTCTGGAACAAGAGGAACCATGATCACAGATATATCCTCACTCTATGGTTCCACAAATGATGCTGTTTAACCAAGGAAATACCCTGCTGCAACAGAGCCAGAGGTATTTGTTCATCAGAACATGGGTAGGGATCAAGTCAATTCTTCTATGCCCACCACAAAAAAGTAACTCTATTACATAAGACCTCAAAAAAACTGAACTGACGTCTCAAATGAAAATATTTGAAAAGTAGAAGATCAAAAAATCACAAGTAGTTTCTATTGCTTGTAATAGGGACTTATATAACCCTTCCTGCCTCTCATTTCTATAAAAATAAACATAAAATTCTACTCACTTGGAATATTTTTGAATTTTGCTTATTGCTAAGCTGTTTATTTTTTAATTCAATTTAGTATATATTGTCTACATTGTATAGAATTCCATGGGCTGTAGAAGGTATAAAGATAAATGAAACAAAGTGACAGCCCTCCCAAAGCTTATACTAAGCCAGTTTAAATCCCTAACAAAAAACCTTATTTAAAGTTTTGAAAATGTTCTACTCTATGTAAGGCATACCGACAATCTTAGAAAAAAATTCTAAAGAAATCTTTTTGGCTGCCTTAAACCATTTTCTCAAGCCAAAACTAACAAGAAAATATTAGAGATATAATTACAGGAAAATCATTGCACCTATTATGTTCATTTATTTAGCAACCATATATTAACTGCCTAATGTGTGCAATATTCTGGGCTTAGTGATGAGGCATCTACAAAGATAATTTCCAGCCTTATCTCATATTACTCTCCTTCATAAATTTTACAGTCCAGTAAAATCAAAATATTCTCTGCCAGATGTATTCTTAACTCCATACCTTTGTTCATGTTGTTCCGTATGCCTGGAATGCCCTAAATTTCCCCTTTAAATGTTAAATTCTTACCTATCTTTAAAGACCCAATTAAAATCCAGTCTTATCCAGCAAACCTTCCCTGAACCTAGGTAAGGAAATACTTGCTCTGTATCTCACAAAAGAGTTTGTTATGAACCTCTCTGATGTACTTATTATATAATCTGATATATTATCTCCGTATCATAGTCCCCTACTAGATTTAAGCATATTAAAAACAAGTGTAATGCATTATTTAAGCTTAGTAAGCATACCGATACCAAGCCCAGTGCCATGTACACTTCTTTTTAGATACTAAAATACTTGAACAACCTGCAACATTATTATTATAGGTATTCTTTCCACTAACACAGATAAGAATTTATCTACAAATCAGTAGAAGGTCTCTAGGAGTTGCCTGTTTTGAAAAAAAAATCACCATCTTGGAAATTAAAACATATTTTTATTAGTCTATTTTGTTTTAATAGAACATATCCAATGCATGCCACTCTCTCCTGGATTGCAATCCATTATATCAGATTGTCACATTTCTTTTCTTTAATCGGATTTTTTATTTGTAAAATAACAATGACTTTCAGACATATTTTTTGAGTGAAAGCATGAAGACTGGTTATCTTTCCTTACAAGTTCACAAATTGACATATAAAGACATTATTGCTATGAAATTAACTAATAGGAATGGGGAATTTATTTTAAATAATTATATCAGAAAAGTTACTCATTATGATTAGGGAAAAATAATCTTTATGAAGGAACAGGTTTATCTCTCTCTCTCTCTCTCCTTCCCTCCATCCCTCCCCTGCATCTAGAATAGAAACAGGGATTCTTAAAAACAAGAAAACTTTTAAATGTCTTCTCTTCAATTAGGTCAAACAGATGTAGGGTTAAAAATTCTCAGGAAAAAAAAAATTGAGTAAATGGATTAATGAATAACTAAGATTTGAAGAGAAAGGTACCAAATTGTGTTAGTTAGTTAAGTAACATTGATTAAGCACCTTTACTTAAGTGATAGGGATACAAAGAAAGACAAAAGACAGTCTTGGCTCTCCAGGATCTTACAGTCTAGTGTAAAGCAAAAAATGGAAAAGGGACTTTATCATAGAGTGCACATCACCTGGGAGTTCAAGAAGAATTAAAATTAATTGTCATGGCAAACTAATGGTAATATGACTAAATTGCAAGCACAAGTTTTTGAGAACTGAATATTCTCTGAAATCTAAAAATTTTAAAAATAAAATGAACAAGAAATAGTAAATGTCATAACAATCCATGGACATTTCCAAGGGGACAATAAATGTAGTATTTTTTTCTATTATCAGTACATTGAACAGAATTACTTTCCATATATATATATATATATATATATATATATATATGTGTGTGTGTGTGTGTATAAAATATATGTTTGTGCATATGTGTGTGTATACAAGCCTACTTATATTTTTTATGTAAAAATTCTAGATTTAAAAGCCACAAATCAGAATCAAATCTTCTGACATTTGTAACAAGGAATAAAAACTGGTTCTAAAGTAATCATTTTTTTTCTTAATTATAGCCCAACAACAATTTTACAGACTCTTCAAAATTTTGACATGATACAAGAGATTACTTAGGTCCATTTAGAAATATTTTTATTACAAAATTCTTGTGCCAACATTTCTCAGGCTTCCTCAAGCTCTGTTGCTTTGGCATATTTAAGAAGGGGTCTTGTACATCCATGATTCTTTTATGATGTTGGCCCAGCATATTTTCATACCTTCAAATATGAAGAAAATAACCTCATGACCTGAATCATGAAAATATATCTGCCATCCATTCATTTAAAAAATAATGGAAACATCTGACTTTGGTAGTAATATTGAAGATGAGTGAATTCTGCTTAAGCATTTGATCTAGTGCTGACTTGGGCCATGACATCAAAGTCTCCTTTAAAGTAAACTGATTGCTCTGATAAAACAAATTCATTCATTATTTTCTTATTTGAATGAATTTTAAAAAAAAATTTTATATGTAAGCATATGAATTTGTATATTCACACTATCCATATAAAACAAATATAAAATACAGCATTATAAAATATTAGAAATATGCTTCTTTTCCAAAGCTTAAAAGCCAAAAAGTAAGGAATTTTGTTTCTGTCAAAATTTTTTAAAAAAAGGTTAAAATTTTTTTAAAAAAAGTTCTTTGAGAGAAGAGACTGCTTAGACTTTTTTTCTCTTTGTATAATAGTGCCTGACACATACTAGTCATTTAAATATTTGAAGAAGAAAGAGAGGAAGGAGGGAGGAAAGAAAGGAAGGAGAAAGTAATGGAAGAAGGGAGAAAGGAAGGAAGAAATGAAAGGAAGGAGGGATGGATAGAAGGAAGAAGGGAAGAAGGGAGGGAAAGAGGAAGGAAGGAAAAGAAGGATGTAAGAATGGAGGGAGGAAGGGAAAATAGAGAGAGGGAAGGAAGGGAAGAAGGGGGGAAGAAGGAAAGAAGATAGAAAGGGAAGAGGAGAGGGGAAAAAAAAGGGAGGAAGGAAAGATTGGTGAAAATATACTGAGTGTCTAAGCTGGAATCAATCTTACATGGAATCAATCATTTTGTAATTCCCTCATTTCCCAGATGAGGAAACTAGGTTAAATTACTGGACCCAAGGCACAAAGATATGTCACTGAAGACCTGGTACTAGAACTTTTGACACCCAGTCCACTGCTTATTCTGTTTATTTACAATGACTTACACTTCAAAGCTTAAATTAGTCACAAAAAAGCACCTAGGCAATCAGTGAAAAGGAGGACCTATATTATATTCCTTACCACGACAGATTGGCCGGTGGTCACTCCATGCTGCTAACGTCTCTGTGACTCTTTGACAGGTTATGCTCTTAGAACCCTGAAGCACATAATTATCTTCACAGGAGAACTGGACACTTGCCCCCACCCTAAGGAATCAAGAAACAAACAAACAAAAAAGAGAGTTTATTAAGTATGAAGACCAGAGAAGCCAATATGCTGCCTGTTGCTAATTTGGAAGTACAGTCAAAACTGTCAAATACGTATATGGAAAAAAAAGAAATAAAGTTTTGAAAAAAATTCAGATAACCAATCATTTTCATGTGAGGAAAAGTTTTATTTCAAAAAAGGCAAATATCTCTACCATGCCATCAGTGTGGGAGAACTGCAGCAGAAGAATATATTTTAAAACAACACATATCAATTATAGTCAAAGGAAGGCCACATACTACATTGGGGAAATACATCTCCCTGGAAAATCCTTTCCCACCCCATTTTAATGCAATCTATCCAGACTACAGTTAGATGAAAAATTACTTTGGCTTTAGTGCTACATCTGAAAACATGAAGCTTTGAGGTTGTGAGCATTGACAAAACACTAAAACAGAATAACAATTTGGCAGGTGCATAAGAAAATGTTCAAGTCATAAATCAGGTATGAACACACACCCAATTACTTCTTCTGAGCCTGACGTGTGGCATTAAGCATAGTGTACCACTATTTTACATTCTGACAAGTATCCTCTTTAAGGAGCAAATCCTACCCATGTTTTCTTGCCACAGGGACTGGGAATGCAGAACTGGGAGTATTTTTAGAGAGAGAAGAGGTAAGAAAAAGGGAAGTTTTCCTTTTCTGTATACTTGAGAGTATAATTCTTTACCATATATCTGCATTTCATAATGCAACTTTCACTAAACTTAAATATAAAGATATGCATATTAAACACAGACGCATACACTCATGTGCACATGCACAATACACACATATTTTTCTTTGTTTTTGTTTTTTTCTTTTTGGTCCAAGTCTACAATTTCATCCATTTAGAGAACTAGTCTAGGGCTTCCCTCCATTAATGAAGAATGACAACTCAAAGTTTCATAGAGGCACAGAAGGACATAGTGACTTATCTACGCTTACAAAGACAGTATGTGTCAGCAGCAACACTTGAACTCAGACCTTCCTAATACCAAGGCTGTCTCTCTTTTCAGAATGCTATATTGACCCTTACATAGACCCTCAGATAGACATACAGACACACCCACAGAGGGGTTTTTCTGAAAATATGTAAGTTTACCCAAATGTAGAAATCTGTTTGAATATACCAAATATAGAAGTTTGTAACATACTATGCCACAAACACACACACACACACAATTATATGTATGTGTGTAAATACATATGCATACATACATATGGGTATATTTTCTAAATGTATAAATATATTCAGAAATATATGTAAATACATACATACAAACACACAGATATGTCTACGCATACAGACACACACATAATGCTTTGGGATATATGCATAAAATACACATTATAACACTATGATCAGGTGGGATATATAGCCAGAATGCAAGACTGGTTGAATATTAGGAAAACTATCAGCATAATTGACCATATCAGTAATAAACCTAACAAAAATCATGATTATCTCAATAGATGCAGAAAATATACAAAATACAGTACCCATTCCTTTTAAAAAAACACAAGAGAGTGCAGGAATAAATGAAGTTTTTTCTAAAATGATAAGCAGTATCCATCTCAAACCATCAGCAAGCATTACATGTAATGGGGGTAAGCTAGAAGATTTCCCAATGAGAACAGGGGTGAAACAAGGATGGCCATTATCAACACTGTTATTCAACACTGTTAGCTTTAGCAATAACAAGAAAAAAAAATGGAAGGAAATGAGGAAACAAAACTATCCCTCTTTGCAGATGATATGATGGTATACTTAGAGAAACCTAGAGAATCAACTAAAAAACTATGTGAAACAATAAACAACTTTAGCAAAGATGCAGGATATAAAATAAATCCACTTAAATCATCAGCCTTTCTATATATTACCAACAAAGCCCAGCAGCAAGTGATGGGTCCCATTTAAAATATCTGTGCACAATATAAAATATTTGGGAGTTTACCTGCCAAGACAAACCCAGGAACTATATGTAGACAATTATAAAATACTTGTCATATCAAACAACTGGAAAAATATAAATCCCTCATGAGTAGGCCAAGCTAGTATAGTAAAAATGGCAATTCTACCTAAATTAATTTACTTATATAATGCCATGCCAATCAAACTACCAAAAAATATTTTATAGAGGTAGAAAAAATCATAAAATTCATCTAAAAGAATGAAATGTCAAGAATATCAAGGTAATTAATGAAAAAAAATGCAAAGGAAGGTAGCCTAGCAAAACCATATCTAAAACTATATTATAAAGTGGCGATCATCAAAATTATTTTGCACTGGCTAAGAAGTAGAGTGGAGATCAGTGGACACCAGCATAGATGACTATAGTATCTAATTTTTGATAAACACAAAGACTCTGGCTTCTGGAATAAGCATTCACTATTTGACAAAAACTTCTGGGAAAACTTGAAAACAGTATGGCAGAAACTAGGCATAGACCAACATCTCACACTCTATACCAAGATAAGGTCAAAATGGGTACATGATTTAGTTATAAAGGGTGATATTATCAGCAAATTAAGAAATCAAGGGGAAAAAAAGGAAGAATTTATGATCAAACAAGAGATAGAGAACACTATGAAATGCAAAATGGATAACATTGGAACCAAAGCCAAGAACTCAGCTTTCCATTAAACTAAAAAGTTTTTGCATAAACAAAGCCAATGCAACCAAGATTAGAAGGAAACCAGAAATCTTGAAACAATTTTTATAGCCAGTGTTTCTGATAAAGGCCTAATTTCTCAAATAGATAAAGAAATGAGTTAAATCTACAAGAACACAAATCATGCCCTAATTGATAAATGGTCAAACGATATGAACAGGCAGTTTTCAGAGAAAAATATTAAAACTATCTCTAGTCAAATGAAAAAATGCTCTTAATCACTATTGATTAGAGAAACTCAAATTAAAACAACTCTGAGGTATTGCCTCACATCTATCAGATTGGCTAATATGACAGAAAAGTAAAATGATAAATTTTGGAGAAGATGCAGGAAAATTGGAACACTAATGCATTGTTGGTGGAGTTGTGAACTGATCCAAACAATCCAGTGAACAGTTTGGAACTATGATCAAAGGACTATAAAACTGTGCATACTCTTTGATCCAGCAACACCACTACTAAGTCTGTCTTGCAATGAGATTGTAAAAAAGGGAAAAGACCAATGCATACAAAATATTCATAGCAACTCTTTTTGTGGTGTCAAAGAATGGAAGTTGAGAGTATGTCCATCAATTGGGGAATGGCTGAACAAGTTGCAGTATATTAATTTAATGAAATATTATTGTGCTGTAAGAAATGATGAACAAGTGGATTTCAGAAAAACCCGGAAAGACTTATATGAACTGATGCTGAGTAAAGCAAGCAGGATCAGAGGAACATTGTTCACAGTAACAGCAATATTGTACAACGATCAACTACGATAGACTTAGTTCTTCTCAGCAATACAATCATCCAAGTCAATTTCAAAAGACTCACAATGGAAAATGCTATACAAATGCAGAGAAAGAACTATGGAGTTTAAGTGCATATCAAAGCATACTGTTTTCCCTTTTTAATTTTTTTTCTTTCTTGTTTTTCCCTTTTGTTCTGATTCTTCTTTTACAACATGACTAATGTGGAAATATGTTTAACATGATTGTTACATAGCTAGAAAGTATCTGAGGCCAGGTTTAAAATCAGTCTTCCTGTCTCCAAGTTCAGTGCTCTATATAGTGTACCACCTAACTGCCTAGAAAAATGTTTGTCAACTGTTTAATTCATTCACAAAAGCATCAGTTTAAAAAAATAAAATGGAGGGAATCAAAACATAAGGAAAATTCAGATTGTGATTTAATAATGTGTGTATGTATGTGTATATATACATATGCCCATGTATACACAATATCAATGAAGAACATACTTGTCTAATTCAAAATTTCAGAACATTAGAGATACTATTAGCCAGTTGTCCTTCAATTAATCTTTTCATGAAATTATTGTGAATATGGACAAGACACTACTTATGAATCATCATATAGAAAACCAAGACCACGATCCTTCTACACGCCTTCATATTTCCCATATAACTATTTTTATCAATGGTATCTTCATCTCTCTGTTTATTACAGGCCAAAATTTTTGTAACCATCTTTATTTTTAAGTTGCTGGAAGACAGTTATATATTTCATTTATCCATCTTTGTATCCCCTACAGTGGCTACTATACACCCAATAAATATTAATTGAATCAATGAATGACTCCCGTCTTCATCATCCCTTATATACTGTTACTCACCAAGTCCTGTGGAGCCATTCTATCTATATCACCCTTCCTTTTCTACTGCAATTAACCTAATGTCTTCACTGCCTCAAACCTAGATAATTTATAACAGATTTTAACTAACTTCTAGTCACAGCCTTTCCAGTATATCTTACACTCAATTGCAAGGTCAATTTTCTTGAATCAATATTTTCATCAAGGTATACCTCCTAGGGTTCCTTATGATTATCTCTAGGGGCAGCTAGATGGTGCAAGAGATAGAGTGGTGGGCCTGGTTAAGAAAATCTGATTTTAAATTCTGCCTCAGTCATCTACTAGCTGTGTGATGTGGGCAAGTTACTTAACCCTGTTTGCCTGGGTTTCCTCAACTGTAAAATGAGCTGGAGAAGGAAATGGCAAACCATTATAGTATATTTGCCAAGAAAACCTCAAATGGGTCACAAAGAGTAGGACGTGACTGAAAAACAACTGAACAACATTAGTATCTCTATCTAGTTTACCACCATCTAATAATCAAGGTCCTCCATCAATTAGCCACACTTTTCCTATCCAATCTCATCTTCCATTTTCCTTCCAAACTAACCTTTTGCTCTGGGCTAGTTTATCTTATTACATTCCAATCTCATCCTCACTTCTGGACCTCTGGTTAGGTTATTGTTCCTTCTGTATATTTGTTTAAAGGGGG